CCGCCGCCGCCGCCGCCCCCCCCAGCGCGCGCCGCCTTCTACATGCCCGGGTCTGGCTCGCGACATGCCTAGAGGGGGCCGCCATGGGCCAGGGGGACGAGAGCGACCGCATCGTGATCAACGTCGGGGGCACTAGGCACCAGACCTACCGCAGCACGCTGCGCACCCTGCCCGGCACGCGGCTGGCCTGGCTCGCGGAGCCCGACGCCCACAGCCACTTCGACTACGACCCGCGCAGCGACGAGTTCTTCTTCGACCGCCATCCGGGCGTCTTCGCCCACATCCTCAACTACTACCGCACGGGCAAGCTGCACTGCCCGGCCGACGTGTGCGGGCCGCTGTACGAGGAGGAGCTGGCCTTCTGGGGCATCGACGAGACGGACGTGGAGCCCTGCTGCTGGATGACCTACCGGCAGCACCGGGACGCCGAGGAGGCGCTGGACAGCTTCGGGGGCGGCGCGCCGGACCTGGGGGGCGAGGACGCGGACGGGGACGGCCTGGGGGACTCTGGGGACGGCGAGGACGAGCTGGAGATGACGAAGAGGCTGGCGCTGGGGGACTCTCCGGACGCCAAGTCGGGGGGCCTGTGGCGGCGCTGGCAGCGACGCGTGTGGGCTCTGTTCGAAGACCCCTACTCCTCGAAATATGCACGGGTGAGTGAGCCGGGCTCGGGCGGCCGCGTGAGCTTGCAAGACGCCGGGTCGAGTTTTGTCGGGCCGGTGTGTGTGTGTGTGTGCGTGCGTGCGCGCTGAGAGCAGGGACTGCCTTGGGGGAGGACAGGGGGACCGACACGGAGGTGGTGGCCGTGGTGTCGGCGCGTGGGCCAGCAGGTTCGGGGCTGTGCACGCGTGGTCACGACTGGGCGCGCGGGCTCGCGTGGAAGAGGGGGGCCCGGCGCTGCCACGCCGTGCCGTGTCTGTGTGTGCGACCCCCGGTGCTCTGCGCAGGGGAGGAGCGGGGCTGTATCGCCGGTACAGCCTCTCGGACCCCCCCTAACCTTGAGGTGATATTGAGCTCGGCGCCCAGGCGAGCCGCTCCTGAGCCCACAGGTGCACAAGGTGGCTCCCGCGACGAGTGTCTCTCCAGCGTCCGCGCCTCGCCGGCTCGGGCAGCAGGGGGGTTGCTTCCCGCTCGCAGGGGCGATCTTGTCCTCCGTACCCATGTTTCTCAGCCCGCCAGCCCAGCGCGTGCCTTCCGGGGAGGCTCGCGTCCCTGAGCTCGCGCGCGCGCGCGCGGGGTCCCCCCCCCCCGCCCTCCTCACTCGCTGCTGCACGAGCCGGCTCCCCAGGGGTGAGGATGAAAGGGGGACTCGGCGCGAGCCGAAGGCGGCTCACTTATTGACAGTGCACCCCCCCCCACACACACACACACACTCTCCCCTCCTCCACGCCCACCCGTGTCCTCTCTGTCCTACGCTGGCGGAGCTCGTGAAACAGTTTATTTCGTCTCGCGCTCCACTGCTCCCGTGTGTAAAAATTCGCTCAGTTCTCCGTGTAATAAACGTGACGGTGTTTATTGGTTGAGGGGGGTGGGGGTGTGTGTCATCTCGGGAGTGTTCTCTCTGTAGACCTGCAGCAGGCTGTGAGCGCCCGAGCAGCGATGATGAATTCGTGGGGAGATTCGCGGTGTCTCCGCGGCCGCCTCCCTGCAGGACGGTCCCGGGCTGGGGCTGCTCAGGGAGGCTCGTCCTCAGGACGCGGGCTGCGTCAGCTGCGTGTTCACTCCACGGGAGGGAAATGCGCGCCACGCTCTAGACACGGTGCCGCGTTGGTGTCTGAATCGACCCACGATCCACGAGCACCTCCTGTGACCGATGCGGGCGCTCTTGGTTTTGCACCGGGTTGTGATGTGGCGTCCGCGCTGCGCGGCGGTGGTGTCGGTCGCACGGTGCCCCTTGCTTCTGCGCGTCTGGCAGGCGGCTCCGCGGCTCGGAGGCAGCCCGCACACACGCGGGTCAGAGCAGACAGCGGGCTGCGCCTGTTCGTCTGCTCTTGAACCGCAGCGCGGCCGGGAGACCTGTCCTCTATGTGCCCGGCGGAGCTACGCCGCTTTCCACACCGCTGTAGCACACATGTTCGCGGGTGTTCATGACTCTGTTGTGGACAGTGGAGAGGGAGAGGGAGAGAGAGAGAGAGAGTGCTGTTGTTTGGGATCTACTAGAAACCCAGGCTATGGCGGAGAAGGGAAAGCGATTTACTGTACAGAAGCATTATGTTGTTGTTGGGGTTTTTTTTTTTTAAAAAAGAGCTGGCGTGTCCGGCAGCAGAACTCGTGTCCTGGACAGCCGCACCACAGAACGTGGTCCCGGCCCGCCTCCCACGAGTCGCCCCGTGACTCTCCCCACGGGCTCTGTGAGCAGTTGCTGGTGATCTCCGTGACCGCTCCGCTTCGCAGCAGGCAGTCAGTTCCGCAGCGCGGCGAGAGGGGGCGCTGTGCAGAGCAGGTCAGCGCGCTTCACAGAAATAAACAGCGGGGGTTGAGGTCGACTCGACCTTTACATCGTCTGCGGCCACGATTTGGTTATACTGCACTGTTGGGGAGCCCCACCCCAATTAGCCTCCCAGGTCCCCTCTTTCTAAAGACCAGTAAATTACTGCTGAGCTGGACAAGTCATCTATTCACGCAGGACCGAGGAACTCCGGTCTTTCATCGCCCGGGGGGCACTAAGACTTTGCGTCTCAACCGGCCCTCGGTGAGTCGTTCCGAGCGCTGGAGGCGCTCGCGGGGAAACGGTCGCGCCGGAAACACGCGGGCTGCGCCGTCTTGCAGGACGGCGCGCGGTGTAATCTCGGCGTAATACGCTACGATACAGCTGTCCCTATCGGACTGTCAGACATATTCTGAGCTATATTTATAGTCCGTGGTGGAATGTGATATAACACCCATATCACCCTGCAACTCACAACTGGCAACCCGCTGAAGCCCAGCAGGTGTGAGCCTGGTCAGTACCTGGATGGGAGACTCCTGGGAAAAACCAAGGTTGCTGCTGGAAGAGGTGTTGGTGAGGCCAGTAGGGGGCGCTCACCCAGCAGTCTTTATGGGTCCTAATGCCCCAGTATGGTGACGGGGACACTATACTGTAAAAAGGTGCCATCCTTCAGATGAGATGTAAAACCGAGGTCCTGACTCTCTGTGGTCATTAACAATCCCAGGGTGTCTCTCGAGAAGAGTAGGGGTGTTACCCTGGTGTCCTGGCCAAATTTCCCCCTGGCCTTTACCAATCATGGCCTCCTAATAACCCCCCTCTCTGAACTGGCTTCATCACTCTGCTCTCCTCCCCACTGAGAGCTGGTGTGTGTGAGAGGACTGGAGCATCATCCAGGTGGGGCTGCACACTGGTGGGGGTGGAGGGGATCCCCATGACCTGTAAAGAGCTCTGAGTGGAGTGTCCAGGAAAGAGCTGTATAAGAGTAAGCAATTATTCTTATTAACAATAATTCTCGCGTTTAGACAGTGGTTCCTCACGCAGGTGGAGTTTAACATCCTGACAGGGACCCAGTTTACCTGACAGCAAAGTAAACCAACATAACCTGTGGCAAACTGTAGGACAGCGGGCCGTTCAGAACCTCTAATAAGCCAGGAGAAGCTGTACTGGACTGTCCCCCGCTATAATTTGGATCCAGAACAGTTAAACGAATGGGGTTGATACTGTAATTTATATTAAACACAGATGTTTACATTGCAATTCAATTGTGTAACTGTACATGCTTTTTGAAACTTTTTTAAAAGTGTATTTTATTTTCTAGCTGTTAATCAGCTAGAAAATAAAGCAGCCAT